GGGGAGGTCGGAAGCGACATATAATACGTGTTAATATTGAACGAAAATATACCATTATCTGATGCAGATTCATTCTAGTAAGTTGTAAAGCTTTTGCTTTGCCTAGATGTAATTTTTCCCTAGTCCAATTGTCTCGTTTGGCATATATGTCAGTTCACACTAACTCAAATATCTGAATTACCTCAACTAAAACTCAGATATATATATTAATAATAATTGCTCAATTTGTTTTAGTTTATATAAAAGTCTTTCTTTTTGTTTGTTAAAAAAAAAAAGACATATTATTATATTTAAAAATTATTTAACTTTAAAATGTCATTTTATCTTTGACGATATGCTCTTAGTCATAGAATTGTTATGTCATATTTAAGAATAAAATTCTAATGGTCATTTCGTCATGTGCAAAAAAACTCGGTCTATGTCCAATGAAACAACATTATGTATAATAAAATGAAGAAAATACAAAAATTACATATTTAATAATATAATAAAATTTTGGAATTTTAATGAGACTTAAAGAAATCTTTAATGAACTTGGGCTTGAGCCGGTTAAGAAGGCGGACTACAGATTTGTGGCAGATCTTGTTGTTTGACCATCTCTCGTGAGGGATCTCGTTCAAAGAACCAGTCACCAAATACCTTTGCAATTGTCTGTAAAAAAAAAAAAAAAAGGAAATGTAGCTTTCACATTTGTGGTTTGAAAATATAAAAGTTTGACAACATTTTCCAAATACTTTGTCCCCGTTTGTCCATAAAAAATATTTCCTTTGTTTCCATTTTTTTTTATTTTTAAATATGTTTGTCCGTGAAATTTTACAAGTTTTTGAAAAAAATTCATAAATGAGTTTTTCAAAAACTAAACATAATTTTAAATTTCAAATACTATTTTTCAACTTAAATCTAAATATTACTTTTTGTTTCAAAAAATTACAATTTTTATGTCCTACTTTGTCTTGCACCCACCTTCTTTCCTTTCTTTTTTCTTTTTTTTTCCTTTTTGCGTTTTTAACAATATACGGAATTCGAAAAACTATGAGAACTATGATTACCTTATTATTCAACAAGTCACTATTACTATTCCAGCTCCAATCATGGTCAGTTTGACAATGCATGAGGCAAGAGTTGATATACATTCCTCTCTGTGAAGGGCTATATGATTTTGGTAATGCACTTAAAAATTCTGCCCCGAAACCTGAAATAAAAAAAGCAAAAGAATAAGGAATATATATATTGCCTTTTGAAGTAATTAGTTATCGTTGTAATCTACTTTCATTGTAACATGAAGCAATTAAATTATTAAGTAAGAGATTGTGGCACGTACGTACCTTGTAACATCTTTTGCTGATCGGGGGAGCATTTACTTAAGTTTTTCTTACAATTTTCTGCAAAGTCTTGTCGGTCTGCGAATGGTATAACGGTGTCTACTATCTGCCAATACGTATATCACAAGAGTTTGATACATCTATTGAAAATAAATATTAAACTATAATGGAAGAAATTACACTGATAAACTCAGAAGTAGATAAAAATAACTAAGATTATTGTTAAATTGGAAAAGCAATGGAATATACTTGGTATGATGGAAGATATTTTTTTTCAAAAATATTTTCGGGAAAATAAGTCGTTTTCAGTTGCAAAATATTTCTTGAAAAATAATGTTTTTCAAATGTTTGGCTAGTGAGCGGAAATCCTTTTTGAAGAAACGTTTGTTAATGATTGATGCAGTTCTTATTAATCTGAATTTATAAAATAATTCTGGACATGAAAAACAATGAAAAAAACATAAATATTGTAGAAGAAACAAAATTTAGAGCCCGTTTGGATTAGCTGATTTGAAATAGCTGATAAGCATTAGGTGCTGAAAAGCACTTTTAAGTGTTGAAACTGATTTAATAAATAAGCAGTTATGCGTTTGGATACAAGTGCTGAAATTGATAATAAGCTGCTACAGTATTTGATAAAAAAGTGTTGATAAGCTTTTTTCTGTTAAAATGACTTAAATAACTTTATAAGTGTTTACACCTATAAGGGCGTAATATCTTCAAAATTTTAGATTCCAAATCGATCCAAATACAAAATATTTTATTTGTCATTTTATTTTAAATACAATTGTGGTTAGATAAGATAAATTTTATGATAAATATAATTTATTTTATGATAAGCATATAATCATAAGTTATAATAATTAATAAATTGATCAAAGTTTCTCAGTAAAAAATAAACCTAAATAGGACAAAATATTTGAAGAGAAACAAACACTGTCTTTATCAGCACAACACTTAGAAAGCAACATAACAAAATATTTGACATGTCCTCATTTATTATATATAGTTCAAAGATTAATATACAATCACATAGATATAAATATGTAAAGGAATAGAGAATTTGCTTATCTTAAATAGTCAATGAGTATTGCAGACTTGAAGAGGCGGAGGGAGGGGGTTAGGTTGAAATAGTACTTGAGGCGGTGAGTATTGATGCAAGAGTTTTGTTCTAAAAAAGAATATTTAAGAATAAAATAGTAAAAATTTTGGTCAAACTTAAAGTGCTTATAAGCTAAAAATTTATAAGCTAGGGGTGACCACCTTATGGCTTTTGGCTTATTTTTGACTTATAAGCACTTGGCTTATAAGCACTTTTAACTTTACCAAACGCGTAAATAAGCCGAAAAGTGCTTATAAGCTACTTTGACTAGCTTATAAGCTTAGCCAAACACCCTCTTAATCTGAGCCCACTGAATTCATAGTGTTTTCTTAAGGAACTTAATCCCCTCCTAGTACCCGAGGTTGTGGATTATTTTCTCTCTGGATAGAATGGATTACACACTGGTGTAACGGTACTTCAAACCCCAGTGTTTCAACGAACACAATGATCGGTAGCAAATCACACTTATTGTTGCTTTCTTTGTAGTTAAAATAATGCAGAAGAAAGAAAGAGATTTCAGAATTTCGTAAGAAAAATCTGAGTGAATGGTCTGCTATTTCTAGCCAACAGGTTGGGTTTAAACGAAGAAGTGCACTCTTCAGAATGACTGTTATGATTGTTCGCGTAAAAACGACCATTACGTAAATGGCTATTTACGCAAAATCAAACACGGAGGAATATTAATTTACCGTTACAAAAATGGCTAATTTGGATTAAAATAATATTACGTTAATCTTAATATTAACAAATAAATTTGGTCCAATAAATTAATCAATCAATCAAATCATTTGACTGAATCTGAGCGAGCGAGCGACGACGGCGCGAGGCTTGCCTTCTTCTTAACTCTTTAAGAGATAGAAGAAAGAGCAATTGTATATATACCTATCAAAACTCTTTTCCTTCTCCAATATGGGATAATATTCCTTTGTCAAAGAGGGAAATTCAAATATTTTATTTTTCTCTCCATTTCTTATTCACTCTTTATTTTAAGCTAAACCAAGCTTAAACCTAACAATAGTTTTAGCAAATCAAATAGTGTTCTGATCAAAATCTTTGAGCGTTAAAGATTGATAATAATGTTTAAAAGCTTGTTAGATTAGTGATATGAAGTTAATAGTTGAGATAATTGTAACGAAAAGTGACTTATATGTCCAAAAGTAAGGGACAATATGTTCCTCCTTTTGATGGAAAAAAATTTTGTTAACAAATATTTTTTGGCAACCAAACTCAGAAAAAAAAAATGGAAAAACATTTTGCAAAAATAATATCTGTGATACCAAACATAGTACTATTAAACTGACCTGCCATGAATCATATGCAGAATTGAGTATGAAAAGTGGGGTCTTGATATCTTGTTGTATATGTTGTGGGAAGAAACACTGCAAGTATATATATATTTTATCGAGAAATTTTTACATGACACTACATAATATATAGTAACAAACTAGGTCCATTATATATGAAGTGAAATTAACTGCATGCAAATGAAATTGCTTACAGATGTTGGATTCATTCTTGAAGTACATGATGGAGGCAACATTTTGGCTGAATTCTGTAACCAAATTAAAAGAGTGGATTTAAGCATTTTGCACAAGTTTTAAAGATGGTCAAATAATCAAATGTAGTACAACAGCAATCTGTATTCAGAACCCCATTCTCTTCTTCAATTCGCTAACGTGGTATTACAGTATATAAACTTGTTAGCTTTAGTGTTTTGTAAGACGATATGAAATATCGGTAAATTACTACAATTTCATTAAAAATTATCTGAAAATAAGGCAAATTACCTATTATAACTAGTTAACATATAATAACGCAAAACAATTACTCTGTTAGCGTGTTGTGTGTGTGTGAGAGAGAGAGAGTACATGTAAGTTAACCACTCCACGGTAGGTTGATTCCAATATCTTGGCTGTCTTGAAATCATTGCTGAAAGAAAGAAAATGTGACTATTGTTATATATATGTTGCTATCAACAAATTATATGATTCAGTGCTTTAGGGTTAATTAGAGTTATATATGTGAATATTACTCGAGCAAAAAGTAGGCACCATCTGAGAGACATTTTACTCTAACTGTGCTTGGTAATAGAGATCGAAAACGATCACAATGGAACATAGTTCCCAATCCACCAGCTGAACAACCCGATAGAATAGCCTGCCATCACAACAGTACAGTCAGTCATGTATAGAAGCATGTTATTTACTTTATTTTTAGGTCGTATATATTTGTCAATGTACAACATTGGAACTTCTTTATTGTAATTTTTTTTATTAAAATGATAAATTCCACTAACTGACCATACATTTTTGGCATTCTTCATTCCTTTGGCTAGTAGTTCCTCCATAATCGCTTGAAAAATCCTTGCACCTCTATAATGTTGATTGGTAGCCTGAAATTTTGACATGTTAATAGAATTGCCCTCCTATATTTGATTTGCACTAATAGCAGAAATTAACATAGTTACTGAGATCGAACTGAAGGACATACTTTATCGACTAATTCAACGTCTCCTGTGTAAGAAGATCCATCACAATATCTGATCATAATTCTGTGCCAATTGTAAAATTCTGGAAATCAAAGCACATAATCAATAGGTCAACATAGTTATTTAATAAATTAGCTAGAGTTTAAGTTATATATATCGTTAGTGTAAAGAATTTTTTACACTATCAGGTCATGAATATTCACGAATTTTTTATATATATCATTAGTGTAAAGAATTAGGTCAAGAATTTTATACTTAAAATGTGGATTTGTAATCTTAAAAAAAAAAACTAGTGACCTAATCGTATAAAAGATGTTTACACTGACGATAATACTTAAGAAGTTTTCACATGTCCATACCTGGATTAGACGTTGTCGAGTTGCTTAGCAACCCGTAGAAACTTTTACTGTCCATATGGTTAGAGAAGCCATTGCTGTAGTTAAACCGGCGTCCACAATCTTCCACACGTTTACACCATCCTCCTCCCTGATGCAGTAGAACGATATTAATAGGTACGCGCTTATGTCCAAATATGTAATTACTTGTCTATCAATTTAATTTCAACACTTAAAAGTATTTTTAGGATTTGATGCGCTTATCAGCTACTTTCAATCAGTTAAGCCAAATTAGCGAGAATGCGAGATGCACGAAAATAAAGCTGTGGAGATATATGGCTCACCTCAAGCCAAACTACCCAATTATTGACTCCATCTCCATACCCTTTGTCATAATGGTATGCTGCTGGACTTCCGTCCAAACAAACTGTAATTGTTTTGGAAAAACAAGTTAGTATTACTCTATAAAAGTTGTTTACTTTGATTTAATTAAGATTAAGAGTTAAGGATATATTATATTTGACCAGCTCCTTTTGAGAAGGCATCTTGAACAAGCGTTTTAGCAACTTTGTTTGGTAAAACTTCTGCTTTTACTTTCATTACTGAACAAATCAGTAGGAAAATGATCCACTGATACCATCTTGATGCTACCCTTCTGCCAATGGAAAAAAAAATTGTGAACAAACAAGTGTCAAACAACAAAATCTCTTAGAGATCAAGAACAATATATCAAAAATTATGTACGATTTTAAATATTTCTCATTGGAAAAATCTTGCATAAATGTTCTCTTTGTGTTAAAAGGGAGAGAAACTTCATTCTAGATGGGGAAAAGAAAATAATAGGCAGAGGTACCTCATTGTAGAGACCTGATCTTGTGTGCAAAAATGGGTTTATAATGTAATGATCATATTGTCTTATTTTGCCTATCCTGAATGTATTTATTGTTGTTAGAAGAGGCAACACCAAGAAATGCGGTATAACATTCGTTTATTATTAGTAATTCTCTCTTTATAATATTCGTCCTCATATCATTCATACTCGTATCAAGCATGTTTTTCTAAATATATGTATGGACAAAAACACATCTTTTTGCAAATAGATTGTAGGCATAATGCTATTAGTTTTTTTTAAAAAAAAATAACAGTGGTGTTTGGGCAAGATCTATTGTGTTCGCTTTCACTAATTCACAGAATATTTGCAACTTCCCACCTCGTATCTAAAGTCTAAACGGGGTCTCCCCATGGTTGGTATACGTTAATTTGAGTGCCCGTATGGATTATTAAAGAACTCGGTTCTTTACCATGTTCCTTAAGCGTAAAGTAATTAAACAAGCAATAAAATAAACACATCGATTTTTACGTGAAAAATCACCCGGCTCAAAATGTGCAAAAACCACGACCTACCATGTAGGATTTTCAACTCCAACTCCACTAGAACAATAGGCCAAAATGTATCAATTACAAGACTGTAATTAAAGACTCTCCCGTACTCCTACTACTCCTATTTGATTCATAAGTTACTCTAACTTGTAAAGAAAAATACTCATTCCAACTCACTAATTATTTATGACACTTGATTACAACTCAATTTCCTAAAACACATTCACCAGACTGACTCGGGAAGAATACAATGCAAGTACTCGACTCGAGTAAACGACTTATGACACTTTAGTTGATGTGTGAAAGGATAGTTTAGAAGTCACAAAGTCGATCATTTAAAACGCTTCAACTTGAGATCTTCTGGGAGTCCTATTCAAAGTCAGCTTCCACTTTGATAGGACTCTTACTACTCTAAGGATTCCACAAGCTTTGGAACTTTTGTCTCTGGCTGAATTATCTGTATCTTCTTGAGCAACGATCTTTATTACTTATAGCAGTCTTCTTCAACCAAATTCGAACCTGGGTAACTTTGAGATAAAGTTACTAACTTGTACAGACGTATAAGTATCAACATGAGGAGCTGGTTTTTCAGAACAATTAAGCAGCTACGTTGAGGACCTAGTTCTTTGAACATTTAGTCATACTTTGTTAATTATCAAAACTTCAATACTCAACAAATTCTCCCTTTTTGATGATGATAAACTTTGTACACAGCCGAATCAGGTAATCACACCAAAGAACCAGATAATCACAACAAGTGACAAGTACTATTGACAGACATGTATGTTCACAACCCATGACTTTCCAACCTTATCTTCCCCATGTTGGCATCATCAAAAACACAAAAAAAAAAAAAAAAAATT